CTAAATTCGAAGATAAAAGAACTGGACCCTTTATTATTCAAGAAAAATTGAATAATGATGCCTATAAACTTTGTAACAACAAAGGAAAAATATTGCAAAAGTACTATAATAGTGATCGTCTTGCTAAATATTATAAAAAACAAATATAAAAACCTTTTGTTCTTATCAAATAATTAGAATTTCTGGAAGAAATTTCTAAAACTAGAGGAAAAAACAATAACATTACACAAATTTTTCAATGTTACAATTTATTTGAAGATTGTGATACTTAGAAATTTATATAAACACCCTTGAATCATACAAATTTTCCTAAAAATGGAATTCTTAAAATTACAACCAGAAACAGTAATCGCTTTAAACAACTTTCTTCAAATCTGAAAACAGGACCTTGCATTTCAAAACCACTTAGATATATCATCTCAAAATATTATTCTTTGGAGTGATAATGAACCAGAAAAAGTTATTGACTTAAACCCTATAATAGAAGCCCCTGTAGCATTCAATATCGATGAATTTCTACAATTAAAAGAAATTCAACCTTCTCTAATTGAAACTCTACTTAATGAAGTACTTATAGAGTTAAAAAGTAATAATACTAATTATCTAACTCAAATAATAAACGATTTGAAACAGACTTCAGAACCAACAACATGAAGTATAACTAATCCTTTTTTTGGAGTAACATGGAAAGAACAAGTTAATCGAATCTTAAAGTTCTTATCTAATCCTGGACATACTTGACATAACCTTAACAAGAAAATTGAAGCTTACTATTACCTAGAACAAATAATCTTGAAGTTCAATAAACCATCTGAGATTAAAAACCTTATCCAAAATGCTCAAGTAACAAGAAGAGCAAAAGATACTTGGAAAGATGCTCTCAGAATATATGAAGTCCTCGAGTTGTGACTAAGAGAAATAATCTTACAATTGAAGTATGTGACTGCAACACATATTATCAAGTTGCTAGATGATAAGTACACCCAACTTCTTGAATCGATTAGAACATAGAATTTATGGAGTAAATTTTTAAAGGGGACAGAAATGTTATAGAATGATTTATTATTATTTTTCTATTATTAGTTATTATTATTATTACTATATTATTATTGGAGTTTGCTATTTATCACCACTGGTGATTATCATCAGTGTAATACAAATTAGTAAACAGGTAACACAAATATATACAGTAATATATATAATATATATATATATAATGATCGATGTCACGTGGGTGGACAATGGAACAACTAAACTACGTGAGTTTGGAACCGGGTTTATTTTTCATATGTTAAACCCGATTAAAACCGGTTTAACATATGAAAATAAACCCGGTTCCAAACTCTATACCTACTATGCTTCGAATAATATAACACAGATGACAGTTTATTAACAATGTATATCCCAAACTAACCAAATATGAAGCCTAAAGTAGAAATGATGAAAAAACAAACGGCTACATACATATGTGCATACATAAGCACTAACAGTTATAATAACATCTCTCTTTTACTATAAATTTTAGCTTCTTAACCCTAAATTTGTGCCATACTGTGGATATATATATTGGAATCGCCCAGATACAGGATCAGAACAGTTCTGAATAAGAATTTTAATTCTAACCCTAATGCTAATCCTAAAGTCCTAATTATTCACTTATCTGGAACTGTTCCGATTCTGAATTGAGATGATTCCAATTCAGGATACAATCCTGTTAAAGTGATGTGTTTAAATGACCTAATCATATCATGGACGTGCCATTTAATATTGTCAGTATCAGAACTATGGTTGTCGTCCAAACTAGGGATGTTATCCTGCTCCAACCAGTTAGTTTATGCTAGCAAACCCGCTAAACACTGTTTCAAAGCACACATGATAAACTGGGTCTCAAACTCTGTTTATACAAATTTATTATTGATTATGCTTGTTAAACATGTGATCCGAAGCATGTTACTGTACTGTATCTATTAATACACGAAGCTTTTTGCTTGTCAAATCGATTCAATTTAAGCACAATGAGTTTGAAATATAATAATTAAAATCATGTGACTGCAAAACTCGAGTTTAACCAGTTTGGTTTCAAACAGGGGCCGAACAGAGTTTGAGTGAACAGGATAACATCCCTAGTCCAAACCTAATTGGTTTGGGACTTTGGGACCATCTAGGGTATTACCCATTATTTGAGACTAGTTAAAGCCGTGAAACTTGTCCCAAACTTATTGAATTGGGATTTGGGACAAAATTTCAGATATATTCAATTTGGACTAATAGTTATAATTATTTGGATGGCAACTATAATCAGAACTTTAAATCGATTATCAACAGGTATAAATGACATGCCTGGTAACAAATTGTGATTTGACCTTTTACTGAGGTGGTATCACTATGCTAAAGAAAAATAAAGATGGGATGCTGTTTGTATTAGTTAAAAGTGACATAGTTAAAAGCAACATTAGTTAAAAGTTCTTGGTAAGTAGTAATTATAAGAGAGGTGCATTATTACTTATATAAGTTGTCAAAAACGATTTTGATCAAAAATTTGCAGCAAATTTGCCTGCAAACCCTTTAAGGGACAGAACTTATCCAGTTTTATTTTTCTATATGTTAAACTTGGGTTAACATATGAAAAATAAAACTGGCCCAAACTCAATACAGAATGAAATTACAGTAGACAAATATGGTATGAGTAACAGAATTTGTATACATACTAATTTAGAACAATAAATTTTTACAATCACAAGCGCAAGTAAATCAGATTAATTAAAGCATGCAAGATACACAAAAATATGTGTGATATTTATTTTGGCTTAATTCAATGATTTTCTTTGTTGACTATATCAGCCTTATGTTGAGCACATCCACGAATATTATGACCTTTACCAAGACAGTAGCTGCACGTTCTTTGTTCATGATTAGAATGTTGCTTAGCATTTTCTTTATCTTCTTCAATATACGATTTCAATTGTTTTGGGGGATGGCCTCTTGGCTTGTGATATTCTGGGTTAGAAACTTCAGTAGTATTAAAGCGAGAACCTGAATTAATTAGAGGTTGTCGGTTATCAGATTCAATTTCACTAGTAGAGGCATTTGTTTGCATATCTTCATTTTGTATACTATGAGTCTCTTGTATGCCCAAACCAGTATTGCGACGATATTTTGTTATGAATTGGGTTAAAACCCCGACTAATTCTGCTGCAACTCCCTCTGATACTGCAATTTGAACACTGGTCTTGGCTAGTGACATCGTAGTACCAAATTGAACCTTTTTATCAATGCATTCTTTAATAGTTGGCGTATATATATTAGCAGTTCGAATTCGATTAATATGGTATAATGGTGTAGACGTGAAAGTTTTGATTCCTTGAGATATCGTAACATGCTTTATTTCAGATGGAATTAATTTAAACCAATGAGTATGAATAAGCCCCAAATGAAAAATTGCATTAGGTGATTGAATAAAAATTCGATATTGATGACGGCATGGCATTCCTAAATTTATTATTTGCATACATGTACAAAGCAACGTCGAATCTTTAAGAATTACGACATAATGTGATTTGGATGCTGAAGTTGCTGCAATATAAAAAACCTCCCAAATTTCTTGTACTTCCTCATTTGATATACCTAATAAAAGTTTGCTTAATTGAATTTGAGGTACATCATAAAAATGTTCAATTGCACGATCAGCTTCAATATTGAACTCCTTAACCTATCCATAGAATTTAATATCAGTATTTATTAGTAAAATTATCCATAGAATTTAGTGTCAGTATTTATTAGTAAGGTACAAGTAAAATTAGATACTTGCCTATTTAATTGTAGTCAAAATTCCTTGGTATAACAATGACTGGTTCATCTGGGCTCGTTAAAGTGAAAGCGGAATGGGTGTCAAATGTTCAGCCAATACCAAATCAATAGCCTTGAAAATGGTATTGTAAGTAGACAGTAAGCCAGATGATGGATTAGATCCGTAATAATCTCTGATACGATTATAACTGGCTTCTTTTTCCAATTCTTGTTCGATTGCTTTTATTAGTTCCTTCAACAAGATACCTCGATCAACGTGTTTCTTAAGAACACCATTTATTGACTCCACCCTTTGTGTTGACTCAGTGCCAGCTGTAAACACTTTTAATATAGAATATCTTGCCCAAGCCTCATAATTCGGATAAAGCTTTGTTTCAAGATAGAAGTGACAGGGTTCATACTTTGTAAGTATGTGCTGGTATTTTAATTCAAAAAGTTCTTGGGTGCAACTATTTCTCATATGATAAAAATCTTCAACAAAATTTTTAGCCACATCACTATGAAGTTTCGATTTGGCTTTCTTTTTGATATTTTCACCAATGTGATAGATGCACAAAAAATGGTGTGTTTGTGGGTATACGACCTGTACAGCCGCGATCATCGCTAGATCTCCATCACTAAACAAAACCACAGAGAACAAGTTATTGGTTGCTTCCAATGTACATCGCAAGATCCAATTGTAATCGGCTTGCGTTTCATACTTTATTAAAGCTTGTGCGAGGATTCTTGATTTGAAGTTATTATCAACTCCAATAAATAGGCTAAGAGCCATTTCATACCAGTTCGTCTTGGCTGTATTGTCATGAATGATAACGTCATGAAACTTGGGCCAGAGTTCATTTCTCTGTTGACTACTCATCCAGAATAAACCTGTCAATT